AAAGAAAATTAATCTTACCTGTTCTTTTCCCTTTCTTGTTATTGTTAAGTGCGGCTGATAGAAACTTTAAAATGAAATACCCTGCTCACATAGTATTCCTACGGGACTAGCCGCTCTAACTGTGATAAGAGAGTAAGTAGACACAACTCGCAAATACAGAGCAACAAAGAGGTGGCCCTTTCAACTTTAATTAAACTGAAATAAAACTCCAGGAGCAGTGGCCCCCAGCTACTCAGGAGGCTGAGGCAGGAGGATCATTTGAGCCCAGGAATTTGAGTTCAACCTGGGCAACATAGGGAGACCCTGTCTCAATAAATACATTTTTAAAATTATTTTATTTATTATTTATTTTTTCAGACAGGGTCTTGCTCTGTTGCACAGGCTGCAGTGCAGTGTCACGATATCGGCTCACTGCAACCTCCGCTTCCGGGGTTCAAGCGATCCTTCCGACTCAGCCTCCCAAGTAGCTGGGATTACAGGTGCACACCACTACACCTGGCTAATTACTGTATTTTTAGTAGACACGGGGTTTCATCATGTTGGCCAGGCTGGACTCGAACTCCTGACCTCAAGTGAGCCACCTGCCTCAGCCTCTCAAATTGCTGGGATTACAGGCGTGAGCCACCATGTCTGGCCAGTTTAAAAAATAATTTTTAAAAGCCCCCCATTCCGGCCAGGCACGGTGGCTCACACCTGTAATCCTAGCACTTTGGGAGGCTGAGGCAGGCGGATCATGAGGTCAGGAGTTCGGGACCGGCCTTCCCAACACAGTAAAACCCTGTCTCTACTAAAAATACAAAAATTAGCTGGGCATGGTAGCACGTGCCTGTAATTCCAGCTCCTCAGGAGGCTGAGGCAGGAGAATCGCTTGAACCCAGGAGGCAGAGGTTGCAGTGAGCCGAGATCGTGCCACTGCACTCCAGCCTGGGCCACAAGAGCAAGACCCCGTCTCAAAGGAAAAACAAACTTCCAGGGAGCCTCCCGGGCCACATGGGGACACTGTGGCAGGGAAAACTAGGATCTGGTTGGGGGGTACACAGCTAAGGGGGGCAGTGAGGAAAGGGCATCCTGGCTATCCTGGGAAGGGGAGATGGGCAGGGAAGGTGAGCCAGGAAGGGTGGCTTTGAAGTGGCCCATGGGGAGCCTGAGGTGTAGCCCAGGGGCTCTGTGCTGGGGGCCCTAGTGCAGAGTGGGTCCCCCAGTGTTAGCCACCCTCTCCTCTCTGCTTCCTGCTCCCCCAGGTACCACAATGTGGGCATCCTTGTGCTTTTCCTGCACGATATCAGCGACGTGCATCTTGAGTTCACCAAGCTCAACATCTATTTCAAGTCCCGCGGCGGCTCCCACCACCGGCGGCATGCCCTGGCGGCAGACCTGGGCTGCCTCAGCTTCGGCTTCAGCTGGTGAGTGGCCAGGGGTGGAGGCGGGATGGGAGGTGTGGCCTGGTGAGGTGGGTGTGGCCAGAAAAGGGACGGGACCAGACAGGGAGGAGGCGGGGCCTGTTGAGGTGGGTGTGGCCTGACAAGGGGAGGGACTGGGCAGGGAAGGGAGGGGCTGGGCAGGGAAGAGAGTGAGGCCTTGGTGAGGTGGGTGGGGCCTGGCAGGGAAGGGGAGGGGCTGGGCAGGGAATGGGGTGGGGCCTGGCAGGACAGAGGAAGGACAGAACAAGAGTGGAGACACGTGAGCACAGGTGGGCAAGGATGGGGCAAGGGGGCAGAGATGGGCCCAGGATGGGACAGGACAGGGACTGGGTGGGGCACTGTCTACCTCTGCCCACGGCCTCTCGTTTCCTCCCACCACAGGTTCTGGTTCCGCCTCTACTGGTTCCCACTCAAGGTCCTGTACGCCACGAGTCACTGCAGCCTGCGCGTGGTTCCTGACATCCCCTTCTACTTCTTCTTCAACACGCTCCTGCTGCTGCTCACCCTCATGAACCTCTACTGGTTCCTGGTGAGTCAGCCCAGGCTGTCTTCCACAGCGGTGGTCCCCTCCTTGTGCCCATCCCTGTCCCCTCCTTGTGCCCATCCCTGTCCCCTCCTCGTGCCCATCCCTGTCCCCTCCTCGTGCCCATCCCTGTCCCCTCCTCGTCCCCAACCCTGTCCCCAACCCTGTCCCCTCCTCGTCCCCATCCTGTCCCCATCCCTGTCCCTTCTCGTCCCCATCCCTGTCCCCTCCTCATCCCCATCCCTTTCCCCTCATCCCC